GGACTTGGTTAAGTTAGGGTGTGGGTATGAGCCCCTCTGGGTGGCCAGAGAGGAGGGATCCTGCATGAATGTTGATCAAAACTCCACAACTTTGTACCAAAGATCCCCTTGGCCATCAAACCAGACGGACCTCCGCATAGAACGGGCATTTGCATACTACCAGTACCAGAATGTGTGTGTGCAAACACATTGACGCATTGGTGAGACGTGATGACACAAAGGGGAGGATAGGACCACTTTGCGGGAACACTTCATAATTGGACAAGTTTTTTGAAATCGACTGTGCAATACAAGAAATAAGGTGGACCACCGGTGGGTGGGCTGTGGCCTACAAAAATCAATGGGAACTTGTCTGCCACTTTTGTGCTCGAAGCTGTTGAGTTCCAGGGAAACCAACACACAGCGTACTGGGAAATATCATATATGGATGCTGTACACGCAAATTGTACTGGATATCAAATTATTCAGGGAGAGTTGCAGTATCAGACTTACTCTGAGACTACCTGAGACTATCCCTGGGACATACAGGGATAGTATAAATTTTTTCAAGTGGCACCTGTTTTCCAAGAGGGGCATGACTTTTGATTCTCTGACCTTCTCGGCCCTACCCAAGCCTGTACACAGGTCTTTTGTTAACAAACCCATCACCTCCAAATGAGCGGTGGATCAAGATGGATCCATGTCTATGTATGTACTCTATGTATGTACATAGATAACCTTGATCAATGAGATCAAGTTGTTAGATCCACTACGGTGCAATAATTGGATGTTGACCGATGTGTGAGACTTTACATCATAAGAGGTCAACTTCTGCTTCAAGCAGGAACCTATTGAACTCGATTGAAACAACTCACGATGTTTCGGTTGTTAGTCTACGGGTTGATGGTCTGATGCGACGAGGGGAGTCAAAAAGACACTGTATATGATATTTGAAGTCAGAAGTGACCTACTTCAGTCCGATCAATCAATCAATCACGATCTACAAACTCATCAATCCCATATTCTCATTATACTTTGATCATGCTTTTCAAGATCATTGCGAGATCTATCCAGAACGTACCTAGGATATGGGATAATCTTCTTCTCGAAGATTTTGTTAAGTTTTGTGTATTAGGTTGTGATGTGCTCTATGGTGCTGGTCATGGTCTGAATTTATCGGAGGGTGATTCCCCCATCAAATTTCTCTTGGTGGATGGACCACATCTTTGCAATGAAAAATTTCACAAGAGGCATTTTTTTTGTTGCAGGGAGCTGGTCAAGACCGAGCATTGGGATCAGATTTCTAATAAACTGTACGTATGAACCATACAGTCCTACCAGCTGCCACCAATCTGTGCGTTAAGTGTACAACAAGCCACTTTATTTTTGTAAATTTTGGATAGTCTCAGAGATAGTCTCAGAGTAAGACCGATACGGTTACGCTCCCCCAAACCTCCCTCACACCGACTTCACCAGAGTGTGTGATGCCAAATTTACAACCGTACGGTTGTTGGCTTGCTTGCAAAGACACCGATGCTTGTACTGGTATGAAGAGTCATTAGGGGTTGGGCGAAAAAGCGACCAACCGGTTTTGCGCCCTTGAGAAGTGAGTCGAAAAGAGCCAAAGATGGCCGAAATCAATTGTGTGAAGGTTTCACAGGTCTGCCGAGGTCTGCCGCTCTGCCAGGGACCCGAAGAGTCCCAAAGTCAGTCTTTGGCTCTGATTTTCCTCCTCCAGCCCCCACCGATTGCTCAGCAAAATCCACACCAGGTGGTACTTGGGTAGACTGTTGCACCTTTCACAGAAGAGACCAGAGACCTGTAAAAGGTGAACAGAGTGTTTGTGTGGCTTGTAGCGGCACAAATGGCTTAGCCCTGTAGGACTTTTGAATGGCGACAGCTTTGGAGTCGTGAAGAAACACTTCATACCGGTATATTTTTTTGCGACACAAAAAGACAGACAAAAATGTTTGTCAGTTTTGAGTGGCTTTCATATTGCTTTTGAGCAATCTCAAAAGCATTCCGAAATTTTTGAACTGCGACTGAATTGTGTTTGCAAACCGGTTGGTCGATTTTTTGCCCAACCCCTATTGATAAGACCTTGGTCTTTGAGCAAGTGGAAGTACATGTTGTCGATCATTGTCAAAATCATGATACGGACACGTTGTGGAAAGCAATTCCTATGATCACGTCTTAATCTCATATCATTTTTTTTATTATTACATTAGATCAACTCACAACAGAAAAAAGAAAAGATCCATAAATCACACTCTTCAATTTTTATCAAGGCATGTGGACTCAAGACAAATAATCAAAATCATCATTTCAATTCAAATTATCACTATATGGATCTTGTTATTCTCAATGAACATCAATCTTACATTCAAAATGGTATATTTTATACAGACATAGAAGTTCAAATAAAAACAATACATACAAAAAAGATAAATAAATGAGATACATACATACCTTGGAAAAAAAAAGAGGGTCAAAAATTGAAAATGTCAACATTGATGTTACACAAATAAGATTAGAATTGATGAATCAAGAATGAAAACTCACCTAGTAGATTAATCAATCCCCAAACAGTTGATCTACAAGAAAGAAGTCAAGAATTGAAATTGGAATCTATGCAGCTATGAACTAACATTAAAGCAAGTCAGGAGAAAGTGGAGAAGTCAGTTTAAATGATGCAACAGAATAGAAGGAACAAAAAACTTACCTAAATGATCAAGAAGTCGAAATTAAAATTGAAGTCAAGAGAGTTGAAAATTGATTAAGAAGGCCTACAATCAAATTTAAATGAATTAATCTTAAACAATTGATGCAAAGTTCAAAATCGAATGACAGACAAATAAAGAAACAATATAACTTGTCATTATTGTGTAAGAGAGTGGAGAAAAATGTTAAGAACAGACCTCAAAATCAAAATCTAGATAGACAAAGATGAAAGAGAAAGTAACAAAAGACTTACAAGATAGATCAGAGCTCAAGATCGAAATTGAATTGAATGTTTATGAAGATTGTAGTTGAAACAGGCTGAGATCGAAATGGAGTTGGTGTAGTTAGAGACTGAATTGATTGATATTGAAGTGAAGGTGGTTAGAGTTGAGTAGTGATCGAGATAGAGGGGTCCTATGGAAGCTTTTGTTTCAACTTATCAAATAGATACCTAGAAGCGAAATGAAAAGGGAATCAAAATTTTAAACAAAGAAGATAAAGTTAGTAAACAAGAACAAACAAAGATAAAGAAATGAAAGAACTTACTTAAATGAAGATCAAGATCAAAGGTCAGAATCGAAACTGAATCCATCAATCTATTCATCAGATACAATAAGAATAGAAAAAAAAAGGAAACAGAATAGACATTCGATTTTGAGGTCTGAAGTTAAAACTAATGAAAAACTTAATAGAAGGATCGATTTTGAGGGTTTAAATTGAGATAGAGAAAGAGGGTGGTGTCAGTGTTGTGCAAGATGAATAGTAGAAAGAAAGTTAAGAGAGAAAAGACTTACATATTTATCAAGATCTAAATCAAAGATCAGAATCGAAATTGAAACTAAATAGGAATTCGATTTTGAGGTCCAAAGTTAAAACTAATGAAAACAAAGAAAGGAGGTAAAGGAGTCAGTATGAGAACAAACAAAGAAGTGAATGGGAAAAGAAACTTACTTAAATGATGTCAAAATCGAAATCTAAATACATAAAGTCAAGGATGGGATAGTGTAGAAGGAGAGAAAAGAAATTGAACTTACATTGTAAATCGATGGTGTGAAGATCGAGCTGGAGCTTGAGGATGAAGTGCGATCGAGAGGTCCTGAAAATCGAAATCTAAACAACTAGAGAGAAGAGATGAGTGAAAGAAAGAAAAAAAAAGGGAGTCAACACAGATCATGAACAAGTTAATAAAAGGATGAGCAGTAAAAAACAGGGTACTTAGCTGTTTTGAAATAAAACTAAATCGAAAATCAAAGTGAATCTGGTGATGTCGTGATTTGAACATAGAGGCCCGATCGGAGATGAAGTCGAAATTGGAAAGGGAGGAGGGAGTGATCAGGAGGTTTTTTCTTAAATGTATCGGTCTCGTTTTTTTTGTCTAGTTTGTGTAGGAATCGGTGGTATCGTTTTTCTTTTTTTGTGATCCATCCAAGGGATCATCAAGTGTTCTTTTCGTGTGATTCGCGTATTAGTGTGGATCAAAGAGTGTTCTAGTGTTAGTTGTTAAAGTGTTCTGATTGTTGTTATCGGCTTCGTGTCCGTGTCTAAGTGTTTTAATCGTGTGTTCAAGTGTTCTTGACATCATATAAGGTTTTTTTTAGAGTGTTCCATCAAAGAATCAGAATATCATCGTTAGTTAGTGTGTCCGATTAAAATCAAGTTTGTTAGGATTTTTTTTATCTCATTGAAAGAAAAAGAAAGATAGATAATAAAACAAACCTTTATCGTAGTTTAGATCATCGTTTGTAGTGGTTGATCTTGAAGAATTGTAGTGTTGTTGTTTTATTTTTTTTCTTTTATTGTAGTTTTGCTGAGCTGAGTCGTGAAACAGTTGTCAGTTGGTTGGATTCAAGCTCAGGGCCGGGTTTTTTTTATCAGGGCTTTCCATATATCATTTTTTATCATTAATTTTTTACTCATAGCAAGAATTACATTAAACTCAAAATCTACATATCTTTGCTTCAACATCTAGTATATCTTTGTGTAGGGTATTGTTGGATTCCGCCAGATCTTGCGGTTTTTTTTAGAAATATCAGAATAGTGTTACGTGTTAGACTTGTGAAGGTAGAAAGTTGTTAGAGAGTTGCTTCCTTGCTTTTTTTATTTTTGAACTGTTATTTCAAGGTTGAGGGCAGTCTACGACAATCATAGTTTCACCCGCATCTTGTTATTCTTTCTGCGGTGATTCTTCCCCTCTCCGGCTCAGCCTACGCCACACAGCGTAGGAGTTCTACAACGTATTGGACGTCGTTGGATTGTTTCTTCGATGGTTTTGATTGTGATAAACACTCAAACCTGGCTATCTAATTTATCTTGATGGTTGTAGTGAGGTAGGCATATTGAGAGATTGGGGTTTGTAGAGAATTGATCACATCAAATTGGCAATTTTTCACTTGAATCTCCCTTAATACCATACATGGTCTTGTTAGCTGAGCAGTAGCAAGGGAGTACTTCACAATCACGGTGTCACACTCACAGCTTTAAAAGAAATCAAAAGGGTTGATACCGACTTGGGGGAGCATTCGAGGATTGTTGGAAATGGGCGAAACGATCCCCGGGCAAAAAGTCTCATGTACGAGACAGCCTGTACCAAGTCCGTGCAAGAGGTACAGCGCAATTCAAAAATATAAGCCACTTGTGAGGTGGCTTAAGCTTCCGGATTTCGGTGGCCTGGCAGACCTCAATGGTATACCAGATCATCAATTATGATAATATAACATTACAACATAAAAACATTCACCCTTTGCTTCGATTCAAGTTTATAGATTTCAATCAATACGAACAATTTTTATCTATCTCGATGAAGAACAGATGCATCTCACTTTTTTAGATTATTCATCATATCATCATAAAGGGTGGAGGAAGATGGTGTTAGATTTCATCCAAGTCTTTAGGATATAAAACCAAAACACTCGAAGATTTGAATCACTTTAAAATGCTTAAGCCAACATTTATCAATCCAAGCTTTATAAAACGTGGAAATGAAAATAAAAACCAATGACCGTTCAAAGAAGTGGAGCCAAAAACTTGAAAGCAAAAAAAAAACTTAAAAACAGAATATGTCAAGCTGATCTTTCTAAATCAGACAGAGCTTGATCAATTCATTTCTCAGCCAGATGTTATGCAATCTGACGACGTTAGCGGAGGTGATTGTTTTCTCCTACTTACATATGCTCTCTTGATAGTCGCGAGCTGGAAGTGAGCGAGTTTCCGATTGCGACCTGTACAGTCGGTGACAAAAAGTTTACGTACCTGTACTATAACTGACCGATTTGGCAACTCTCAAGAAGCATATTGTACTCAACATCTCATGTACTTCTATACCTTAAAGCACACGGTCTAGATGGCCACTCGTCAGAGTATCTATGATCAAATTTCAGGATGTGTAATTGTAATGTAGACTCTAGAATACAACAATTTTTACCAGCGAGTGTGTCTACCCTTTGCCTTGATCACAGCCTTGATCCGATCAGGCATGGATTCAACCAAAGCTTGAAGCTTGCTCTGAGGGATTGCTTTCCACTCGGTAAACAGGGCTTCACGCATTTCTTGAGGTGTGCGAGGCTGATGTTTTTCAGAAACATTCCTTTTCATTATGTTCCAGAGGTTCTCAATCGGGTTCAAGTCTGGACTGTTTGCTGGCCAATTTAACTTTGTAATTGAATGTTGATCTCTCCATTCTTTTGCCACTTTACTTGTGTGTACCGGGGCTCCATCCTCCATCAAGATAAGATCGTGTGGACAATTAGGTGAGCTGATAAATGGTTCGATGATGCGTCGATAGATCAAATCGACAAAATCGGGTCCAGATCGACGTCCTGGGGGCATTATGGTCATCGGCAAGCGAATTTCGGCTGTGAATGCACCCCAGATCATTACCGAAGTTTGTCCACTCTTGAAACTTGGTGCTAAACAATCTTGGTTGTATTTTTCACCGGACTTACGCCACACCCAAACCTTCTTTGCAGGCTTTCCTATTTCAAAAGACGACTCATCGGTCCATATGACCTTCTTCCAATCATTGTAAGTCCAATCTTTGTACTGTTTAGCAAACTGAAGACGCCTTAGAATGTGTTGGCTCTTGAGATAAGGCTTGACTACTGCCACTCAAGAGTTAAACCCAAGTCTTCGAATTTCTGATCGGATCGTTTGAAGACTTGCTTTAATTGGTAGTTTGCTAGCGATCCAGGCAGCTGAAGCGCGTCGGTTTTTTTTAAAAATTTGCTTCAAAGTTCGCTGATCACGTTCTGAGAATTTCTTCGGTCTTCCGAGTGTTTTTGAGGTCGTTGATACGCGTTTTTTACGGTCATTGTAGATGACTGTGTAGACAGTAGACTTGGGATGGCCCAGTTTTTTAGCAATTTGAGTGCCAGGAATGCCAATTTGGTGCATGTAAACGATGGAAGCCTTTCGGGTGGGAGAAAGGGTGCAGGTCTTCATTTTCTAAGAGGTTTGGGGTTGGTATAGAGAAGATGCTCGAGGACAAAAACACTCATAGACCTCACTGCACTATTACATATGTAGTCGAGGTACGTAAACTTTTTGTCACTGACTGTACTACATACAAGGTACTACATCCAAGGCTCAAGCCATCTTCCTATGTACATACAGGAAGGTGGCGTCTTGAGGATACTTTTCGCCCATCTGCCTTTTCGCCCACTTTCGCCGGATCTCAACGATAATCGAATTCTCTGAATCGCCTTATTCAGAGCCCCGAGGTGGACAGGCTTGACTCAAACCTGATGGACAAGTCGCACGCATTGCAAGTGATGTTGAATATGTCCAACAAAATGTCCACCTTTTCCATCGAAGGAACAAGTCTGGGAAATCTCATTCTCGGGAGTCTGGGGCCTATAAATGGGCCAAGCTCTTGATCCCTCGCCCACACCAGCTTTAAGTTATTTCACACACTTTTCTCTTGCTGAGTTTCCAGTCGATCATTCGCGAAGTTGAAGCATCATTTCATCACGATGCGGAAATCTCTAGCACATTTTCCTGCTTATTTGTCACTTTCACTGGCCCTCATCCTACAATCCCAGGCCCAAAATGGCGGACCCACTGTCATCACCTTGGAAGGCAAGCCAGCTCAGACTATCCCTAATCTTTATGGTATGATGTATGAGGACATCAACGTTAGTCCCCAGTCGATTAGTCAACCTGTTCACTGAGCTTCTTAGATTAATTCCCCATTCAAACCTTGAAACAGCACGCAGGAGATGGGGGCTTATACGCGGAGCTGCTTCGTAATCGAGCGTTACAAGGCAAAAATCCCAAAAACCAAGCCGATGCCTTAGAGGCTTGGAGTTCCAATGGCAATATCAAGCTGGCGGCTGTAGATCTATCCGGATCTCTTCCACTTTCAGAGGCTTTACCGAACGCTTTAGAGGTTACCGTCGCAGCTGGCCAGCAAGGCTCCGTGGTGAATTCGGGTTATTGGGGTAATATTGAAACTCTACCTTCGACGTCAAAACTAGCGAAGGCGACCCGAGATATTCTGTTGAGCTGATGTTACTTGGATCATGTTGGTACACGCGTTAAATAGGCATCAAGGTTGATCAAGCATGGACCTACACCGCCTCCTTCTATGCCAAGATCGCTACTAAAGGGACCAAGTGCGGTCCCGGAATGAGCGTGCAACTATTGACTACAGGACAATCTGGAACTATCCTAGCTCAAGAAAGCATCCAATCATCGTGTCTTACTGACACATGGCAAAAGTTCGACGTTCAGCTTCGTCCAAAAAATTCAGCAGCTGACGCCAAAAACGACTTTGCAATCGCATTTACTTCGACATCAAATGCCGATGAAGTGATTCACATCACGTTGGCAAGTTTATTTCCACCAACCTTTAAAAATCGTCCCAATGGTGTTAGAATTGATTTGGCCCAGGTCAGTGGAGCATCCCGATTGCACCTTCAAGTTTTCGCGTCCTTGATAGTGTCCATTCTTGTCAAAAATATAGGCTACAGCGGCTCTCAAGCGAAGTTTTTTTCGGTGGGGTGGGTGAGTGACATCGCCTTTCCGGGTGGATCCAGTCAGAGATCTGATAGCTGTCTGTGATTCTCTTAGCAACAATATCGAAGGTTATAGTGCAGGCGACAGATGGAAGTGGGATCGGACTGTCGGTCCACTGACTGACCGACCTGGACGTGTAAGTCTGAATGATCAACTAGCAAAGACTTCAAAAGCCGATCTTGAAATCCATTTTTTATGATCTAGAAAGGAAATTGGGGTTACACTAATACCGACGGTAAATCTTGCGATTTCTTAAGACGACTTCATTTTGAAGTTCAACCTTGCTGAATCAACTCTTCATGATAACTTTTATTGTCGTAGGCTTCGGATTGTTCGAAGTCTTACAGTTCTGCGAAGACTTGAACATGGAATTCATTGCATCAGTTTGGTGATTTGCTGTCTGACCCAAAAGCATCTAAATTTATCAAAGAGTAGTAACCATTGATAACCTCAATTGTGCTTGTGCGCTTCTGTTTGAACCGCTACTAGGTCAGGTCTGAGTTTATCACCATTCAAGGCTGTACCCGAATCAGAAATTGATAAATACATTCAAGAAGGTGTGGATATGGTTAGCTTTTTGACGGCCCCCGCATTCTCAACACAGAATCAATCCGCTGAATGCTGATACGTGCGCACTCCGACGAGTAGCTTAATTTTATCGTGGGCCCTGCTTCAACAAAAGCAGGTGCTCTCCGCGCCTCTTTAGGTCACCCCGAGCCTTTCCCGGTGCGATTTGTTGAGGTCGGCAACGAAGACTTTTTTGACTCCGCAACGTATGTCGGATCCTCAACAGTACACTCGGCTTGTGATCAACTGGTAGTCGGAGGCTCATCTTCAACCTGCACGCTTTTATTTGATCCAATTCTAGTTATTCATACCGATGGGGGCACCTTGCACCAGCGCTTATGCAACAGTTTCCTCAGCTCAAGTTTGTTGCCACCAATGTTCCACACAAACCCGATCTGCAACCGGAACCGTATGGCTGGGATATCCATAGCTACCAGACTGCAGAATGGTATGGTGAGTCTATATCCTCACCATGAACTTGAAATCTTGATAAATCCCAAAACCTGTGCCGGTGCGCAAACCATGAGTTGACTTATGGATACTTTTGCGCATGCTCAGTTGCTCATACTCAAGACTACGATTCTTATCCACGAAACGGGCAGAAGATATTTCAACTCGAGGTACGTTCAAAATGATATAAAAATTGGACTTCATATCCACAGAACTAGTTACTCAGTCTAAATCAAATATGTCACAGTTCGCTTCTAATGGGCCCAAGATAGGACAAGGCCCGGCACGCCCAACACAGGAAGGTGCAGTAGGTGAAGCAGCATATATGACAGGATTCGAAAGGAGTGAGTCCCAAGTTCCGCAGCCCATTCCTCTTGTGCACCTTCCGGTCCTGACACGCCTGTATTTTCGACTCTAGACTCCGACATAGTCGAAGGTCCGTATCTATCTCTTATCGTTTTGTAGCAGCCCTGATTGGTTAAGCTGTCTAAAGCGGTGTTATTCTTGCTTCCAGGTATCGCATATGCTCCTAGTTACATCAATGTACAAGTTCCTGAAGCATCACAATGGGTGAGTTCTATTCAGCTTTGGGTTATAATTCGATCAACGAAACTGATCGAGATTTTCAAATCATAAACCTCATAAGCACCCAAATTTGCTTGGATTTGAGTAAGTTCAGAGTGAAATATTTCCTTCAACTCTTCTTGATCACCTTTAAAAAGACTTGGCGATTTGTTTGATTGCACGATGTTAACAAATGTACATCTTTGCCTTGTCAGTGCTCTTCGTGTCTATCCCACGACATCGTACTATGTTCAACAGGTCAGTTGATCTACCCCCTTGAGATATGAGCTGTGCAGTGATTCAACTCTGACTTACTTTTTGATGGTTGTATAGATGTTCGCCACATATCTAGGGGATAAATATCTACCTTCCAATCTACCTTCAAAGACCGACAAATTGAGTTGGTCAGCTACAGTGTCATCCTCTGATGGTACAGTCTTTTTGAAGGTACGGTGTAGGAGTTTAAACTTTTGGCCATTTGATTCATATTCACTTAGACTTATCTTCCTTCAATCTCTTGCTATGCACAGTTGGCAAACGCAGATCGATCCACGCGCCAGGTATCCATCAACTTACCTTTCACTCCTGGTCAAGTCACGACTTCAACATTACAAAGTTCCGGAAATGCTGATAGTCCACCTGTGACCCAACAAGTGCCAGCTCAAGCGAGCCCGATCTCACTTTCATTGTCATCTCAGAGCGTTACTGTAGTTATTATTGCAAGAGGTAGATAAAACGCAGACGTATCGCAAGTTGGTTTCGCAACTCGTCTTTTTGTACGGTGATCCCTTTGAAATTCTTTAGTTGAAGATTCATAAACCGGATGTTCTTCCAATTCCGTTATAAAGTGGTTCACTATTGATTTCAATTTCGACTCATTTATAATACTCCATTGTACTTTCATACCCCTTTTCTCTGGCTTTTAGTATCATTTCTCTCGCTTTGGTTTATTTTTTCATAGCCTGGTAATACATTTCACATTTCAAGAATGGGAGTGATAATACCAGCTGATAGCTCCGAGATATAAATCACGAACCAACCCATGTTTCTTTTTCGTCGCTTCGAATTTAGTAAAGTCTGTTTTAGTAAGGTGGAATTGAGCTTATGACTCATCAATATGAGTATCCCCTGATGATTCAAGATGCGAAGTTAGGAACCCGCACTGAAGCCTGAAGGGTATCAAGATGCTATACGGCTGAATCCGAAATCATTTGAATTTGATCAGAATTGTCTATTCCGAAAGCTGCGTAGGGACTTCGTTATGATGGGTCAAGGTATTCTTTTAGCTGAGCCTGAGCTGCAGCATTCAAAATTCTCATCCACATGGTAATCCTTCTCAACAAAAGAGGTTGTTTGGTAAACGAGGCAGTGCGATCGGAGACTGGCCATTATGATGGTGCTTGCGTAATGTATGTAAAATGTATGTAAAACTTGAGGCTGATGAATCATGAAACCAATCCCCATGCCGAATTGCAGCAAATTGATCGAGTGGTCTTGGACTGCTTCATAAAAGTTGAGATGTTAAGTAGCCTAGCCCTTTTAGGCTAATTTGCCAAAATTCAGTTGAACCTCAGATCAGATCTTACTGCAACTGCCAACGACTACCACTATCATTCATTTCATCATTCCTGGTCTTAACATCCATCCTGATCCTCATCCTAACACTCACCAATATCGATCAACTTCAAATCACTTTATCATCTATCAATTTATCTCAACCTCATCATCATGAAGTAAGTTTAATAGCTTATTGTCATCTCACTTTGGATTTCAATTGACACATTCGATCATCTTCCAGCCCCTCAAGTTACATTCAATTAGAAAAGGTATCATGGCTTGACTTTATCTCTTCCTCCTGTTCGCTTACCAAACAACATCGATCATTAAACAGCTCGTCATCTCTTTCGTATCTTTATCATCCAGCTCGGTGAAGGTACTTATGCTACAGTTCACAAGGTTCGATCTAGTTTTCTACACTTCATCTCTTGATTTGGAATTAAGTTTTGATTCATAACCTCAATAGGGTCGCTCTCGGATCACAAACGAAATCGTAGCCCTCAAAGAGATTCATCTGGATGCAGAAGAAGGAACACCCTCTACGGCGATCCGAGAGATTAGCTTAATGAAAGAACTCAAACATCCTAACATCGTTCGACTCTATGACGTAATTCATACTGAAACTAAGCTTATGTTGGTGTTTGAGTTTATGGACCTCGATCTCAAGAAATATATGGACGCGCACGGTGACCGGGGTGCATTGGAAAGCCATGTGGTCAGAAGCTTCATGTATCAAGTAAGTTGCTTACCTTTAACTTGTCATTATCTATCTGACCTAGATTTGTATTTCCGAAGCTTTTGAAAGGAACTGCATTTTGTCATGAGAACAGAGTGTTGCATCGTGACTTGAAGCCTCAGAATTTGCTCATCAACAAGCGCGGTGAATTGAAATTGGCCGATTTCGGATTAGCAAGAGCATTTGGAATTCCAGTCAACACCTTCTCCAACGAAGTTGTCACACTTTGGTATCGGGCTCCCGATGTACTTTTAGGGAGTCGGACATACAGCACCAGTATAGATGTCTGGAGTGCAGGTTGCATCATGGCTGAAAGTAAGCAGCGAAACAAGCGTTGTAGTCATTTGCGTTGATGGTGCTCATTAAATCTATGATTTGGCTTAACCTTATCATCTACTAGTGATCAGCGGTGTTCCCCTTTTCAGGGGTCGAGACAACAACGATCAGCTCACTCAAATTCTACGTGTCCTCGGTACCCCTGATGATACCACTCTACGAAGGATCCAAGCAGAATCAGTCTGAGTCACTTCATTTTGAACTCTTGCTTACCTTGTCATCTTTGGAATTGTGCTAACCATCGATCATCTTTGCATCATTTTCTATTAGCCCGAGATTCAATTACGCCCCTTTCCAAGAGTAGCAAGAATCTCGTTTCAGTCTCTATATCCAAAATGTCATCCATTTGGTAAATATAAATTTTCTACAGACCAGACTGCCAACTGAATAGCCATACTGACCTTTACATCATCTATTGACTTTGAAATAAAAGCCACTGACCTTCTCGAGCGTCTCTTGAAGTTTGACCCGTCTCAGCGGCTGTCTTGCGAAGATGCGCTCAACCACCAATATTTCCAGTCAGATGCTCGTATCGCTGCACAACAAACTACTAATCAAGCTCAACAAAGACAGCAACAACAAGATCAACAAGCTCTTGCCCAACAGCAATACCAACAGGCTCAACAACAACAATACATGGAAGCTCAGATCCAAGCTCAACAATATGCGGCCCAAATGGCTGTTCAGCAGGGTAGTGGTGGTTCTTATAATTATCAGTAACGATCCTCTAATCTTTTCTTCTCTGTTCTATCTTTGATCGATTACCTTTTACATCCTACACCATGTATCTTTACGTAAGTCTAGTGAGGAGGTAAGGCAGTTGTACTTCCTTTTCGAGCTTTCTTTACTCTTCATCTTAAGTTGTTCTATGAAGAAATCGTCAATCTATATATAAACATGGCATGGACTTGTAATGATTGAGTTTTAATTTGTATTAATTGGTAGCCCTGTAATTTCTGTGTTTCAAGTCTTGTTCATCTTTGTGTTAGTTTTTTGGGGAAGGTTTGTAAAGAATCAAAGTAGAAGTTTGTCAATTTCAGAGTAAGAGTAGAAAGAAGATCTATTGTGGGTGTATCTTTTGAGGTAAAAGTAATGAATGACCAAGATACATTGTGATCATTCAGGCTTCACTCATGATTAGGGACCATCCTTCCAAATCTTCTTGAATCCCATTGGTCATGGGGAAAAATTACATCATAGCTGGCTAAGGCTTGTTGACTGAATTGAGTTTTGAAGTGATTTGATCGATTGATTCTTAAGATGAACCTGACAAAGCAAGCTCATCAAGGTCATCAACAACACAGCATTCTTTATAAGTCATTGATCATGGGCACTAGGAGGAAACTTCTAGATACGAGAATATGTATGTATGTTAGAGGTGCCATGTGATGAAGCCTCGAGGTAATGATTTGTTGGTCTCTTGTGCAATCTCTTGCAATAATCCTTCATTACCTTTTCGCAATGAGGAGCTCTTTATCTTTGTATTGATGATCATTTATAATCTACCCAGTGAATGATCTCGAACTTGTGTTCTTCCCACTGCTTCACTTTTAACTCAAAACATATTCTATACCACTTCCAAAGATTATTCTCAGTTTTATTCAAGATCAACTCCTTTTATATATATTCCATCATATCATCACACTGATTTTTGATTCATATAAAACTTTCGTCCTACCCACCTCTTCCTCTATTTAAATTTGTGACACTTTTTTAGTCCGCCCCATAGCAGACCTTTTTGTTGCCTTTGAGTCAATTGCACTCTAACTTAACTAAGTCCCTCGTTCTGGGGTTTAATACAGCATGCAATGCCCAGGTCACGAGGGTCTTTGGCACAGGATTAGGTTGTTTTTTGAAAGACTGCTTGAAATCACGCGGGAGGGCCCCGAGAGGTCTGACTCGAGATTGTAGGAAGAAGCAACAAGGCCCTTAAGGAGCGGTCACTCATAACAATTAAGATAAAAAAGCCACTCCTTTTAAGTGAAAAAGGTAGGGATGACGGGTACAAAAAAATTCCTGCAATTAAAGAACTACTGGCTAAACTTGTAGAAGGATAGGGAAAGATTTTGTTGATAATAGAGTGGATGAGCTTACAAAAATAATTGAAGAAGTATGTAGAGGTAAAGAGACAACATATAACTCTAATAACTTTGTAAAAAGGAAAAGAGGTAAAGAGCTTCAATCGTGAAAGAACATGCGAACAGCTTTACCTAAGATTGGTAAGAACTTCAAAACCTTTGAGGCACGTCTTCATAACAACACAGTGATCCTTACACAGACAACTACGCCAGCCCCGATTCCTATCATAGTTAACACTTCGTCCCATCACCTAGGAAGAAGAAGGGATAACATTAGCTGGGCGTTGACCTCACGTGAAGTACCTTTTTTCATCGTCACAGGAAGTTCAAGAAAGATTGCCACGGTGCAACTGAAGCGATGTTGCATTTGCCTCGGGCGCCCTTGCATCCCGAAGTGCTCTTTGAAACTCTGGCCAAACAGTGTTGAACGACTGATGATCTTGGGAGCTCAGCAAGATCAAGAAGCTATAAAACTCAAGACTCTCTCTCTTCATCATATTCCTCCTCATCACATCTTTTAATTCTACCTTTAATAATACCTCCTTCATCATTGTACCATAGTTGTATATAATAAACTTCACTAATAATCAGCACCATCGCATTTACTCTTTCGTGTTCATAGTCTTCAAAATCATCAATCAATCTTTTGAAATCCAAGTTTTAAACTTCTTTTTCTAATCACTTTCATTAGCTTCGATTCTTTTAGAATATTCCCTACGTTTTTTGATTTGTTCACATCTTCCACCATCATGCGTTTCACAATCACTGTCAGCTTTGCCACTTTGGCTGTTGGATTGGTCATGAGTCAAGGGGCTCACAATCAAGCGCCTACGCACAACACCTTTACGTGAGTTCAGAATCAACTCTTGTATCATTTCCATTTCAAACACATTCATTTACCGTACTTTTCTAACTTTTTTTTTCATCATTTGTTACTTCAGACTGGTTCGCCGTACCAACATTGTTACCGAGACCAATGTGACCTCCAGCATTCCCAAAAGCACTTTACCCACACTCTTGTCTCCGCCTGTGGGTCTTCGGGATGCGCTTGAGAATGTTCACAGGTAAGATTTTACAGTAACTCTTCCACATAAACATTCTGCACGCATTCTCATGAAATGCTAGTTGCTAACTTTTGAACACTCTCTATGTGCTTTAAGGATACATAATACCATAGATCCGTAAGCCTATGTCTGTTTGCTTACTATTTCATTTCAGAATATTAACCTCTTTATTTCTTTACCACCACATCCAGTGATGCTGTTAACAATGATCAAGGGTGAGTCTCAAACAGACATCAAAAATTTATAGGTCCAACATCTAACAAACAACTTTCTTCTTCTTATCTAGTCTTTTCCGTCGGAACGTCACCATTGTCACTGGACCACCCCCCAAACCACCAACACCACATAATCCACCTAAACCTTTGTCACCAGTGACCGTAACACCCAACAATCCAACCAAGCCTGTGTCTGGACCACCGCCAAGCCATCAAGCCAAGCCTGTTTCTGCACCACCACCACCACCAAACACCCAAACAAAGCCTTCGTCTACGACAGTCACCACTAGTACCCAAAACCCTCCACCAACAATCTCGAGCACTAGTACCGCAAACCCTGCGCTCACCACAACTGTAACGACCACCACTCCAGTAAACCCAACGTCTGGACAACCGGCAAGCAGTCAAACAAAGCCTTCATCAAAAGTCGCCTTGAGCAGGTAAACACAGATTTGATTTCTGATGATTTGATCTCAAAGATAACCTATTAACATTTCCTTGACTTTTTTTCTCTAATCTTAAAATTTCAGACGTCAAGATAAACAAGAAGTCACAACAGGTCTACCTACCAAGCTTCCTACTGATGCAACTACATGTGCAACGATTTTGAAAAAGATGGAATCAGCTAAAAGTGCATCAACTTCTACCGGAACTAAATCTACTTCAACTCGTCGTGCAATCACAGGAACATACAATTACCCGTAAGTCTGATGACAAAGAAATCTTGTTCAAAGCAAAATGTATTCTGAACATTAGAAATCGGGGTATGAATTTTGATCTTTCTTATAGTTTAAGTCGTCGTCAACCTCAATCAGGAGATCAAAAGTCTACTACAAACACATCAGGTGGATCTACTTCGG